CCTCTCTATCTCCAGGAGATCGAACCTATTGTATGGCTACCTGCCCTTGCCCCCATCACTTTCATTATGCATCACAGAATGCAGTCCCTTTTAGAGTGCTCTACGAGGCAGCAAAACTAAAATGCACGGTTTCTAACCTGAGCCATATGGGCAGGTTTCAAGTTGGGTGTTGGGGGTGAACCGAGCCAAGGGCAAGTCAGTCTTCCCGGCTGAAATGAACTGGATGTTTCGGAACAGGCCTGCTTGGCCTGTTTCTGCCAGTCCTTATCAACTAATGAGCTCAGTGCCTCGAACATCCAATTTCCACCTCCCTGACCATCTGAGGCAATGTTGGCGTGCCATCTCCCCAGCCGCTCATGTATCTGCTTGGATGGTTTAAACCTCATCATCAGCCACCGACCCTTCTCCGCCTGGAGAGATTCTGCAGAAGCTAGGACCTGGAGGGGCTCATTCTCACCTTCCTTTATGCTGGCGTGGGTTCAGAGCCTTGGATAAAAAGGCCCAACCTCACCTAGGATACTAGCATGGGGTTTTGCACAGTTTCATTTTCAGTATTTCTAACTCCAGTGCCTTTTTCGTCCAGGATCAAATCCAAACTCCTCTGTTTGCCTGTTAAAGCCCTTTGCCACCTGGCCCCAATCTACGTTTCTACCCTTATTACCTATAACAATTTCACACAGTCTAGCCAAAACTGTTCCTCCACACGACTTCTGACCTCTGCCTCCCCATCTTCCTTCCTTCACCATAACACCAAGTCAGCCTCCTTCAAACCTCAGCTCCAGTGTTGTCTCCGTGATCCCTCTGGTTGTGAGTGCGATCCCAAACTCCAAATTACCTTTTACGTCTTTTGTATATATTGATGTCATGTAAACTCCTTGGAAGAAAGGGCCATTTCATCTTTGTTTTTTGTGGCCTCCGAGCCTAGCATAGTGCCTGGCACACAGCAGGCACCTAATCAAAGCTTGGTTATTGGCTGACCAATTAAATATCTGTTTTCTGAAGGACAAAGAGTAGGGTGATAGGGAAAGAGACAGTAGACCAAGAGCCAGGAACCTGGGGTTCAAATCCCACTAACTCTGGGCTTCTTTCAGCTCCTCAGTAAAGGTAGTTGGATGGTTCCCATTAGAACAGTTTATAAATCAACTAGGGAATGTTAAATCCTCCTCTACTTTATTTATCCTCAGACCTGGCTCTGTCTTCAACCAAGATTTAAGTTGGGATGAATGGTTTTGGGAGCAGCCCCTCTCTCTGCAAAAAACATAGAAACTGTCCCATTTTCAACCCTACCCCCTCAGCCAGTCCCCTACACACACACACCAGGACATGAAACCCAGCAGCCACCGGGAAGGAGAGCTTCATTTTTCTCTCTGTGCTGCGGTTAATGCTTTATTGCATGCTGTTGATACAAAAAATAAATCACACCATTTGGTTATTTTTGAAAACTTCCTGCATGCCACCCCTCATAAGTTTCTCAGGAAGCAGCATGGTTTCAGAGATGGGGAGTTTCCCTCCCATTAGAATGTTAGCTTCTTACAAGTAGGGGTTGTTTCATTCTTTGTACTTGTCTCCTCCTAAACCTAGCAGGCTTTCCATAAATGTTTGATTTTTTTTTTTTGTTGGAAAATGGACAGTTAAATCCATTTACCCATTCAACATGTCCTTAGGAAAAGTTTAGTATATTCCATCTACTGTTCTAGGCATGGGGAATATAAAGCAATTTCTGCCCTCACCAAGCTTCTATTCATTTAGGGGTTGGGAGGGGAGAAACAACATATACATATACACCAACTAGCAAATAAAAATACTTACAAAATAGATATAGAGTAATGGGGCGGGGTGGACCTAGAGAGGAAGGGATCAAGATAGGCCTCCTACAGAAGATGGTGCTTGACCCGAGTTTTGAAGGAAGGTAGCAATCCTAAGGGGTAAAGGTGAGAAGGAAGAGCATCCCAGGAACAGAGGACATGCTGTGCAAAGGCATACAGACAAGCAAATTTTGGCAAAGGTCAAAGAAGAGTAAGCAGACCAGTTCGAGAACACATATCAATTCCATTTTATGTTAAATGTCAATTAGGACTCAGCAGTGGGAGGTTGCAAGCGTCTTCGGGACTGATTGAAAACAAAACAAAACGCTTTTCTGTGGTTTGATTTGGAACCACATCGCAAAGACAGTGGGAGAGGAGAGCGCGAGAGCCTGAGAGCGCAGCTTATGAGTCAAGGGCAGTTGAAATGATTCAGCTGCTGACTAATTATCTCTGTTAATCTTCGTGTTTTGCTGCTCTGTGGACAGAGCTTTCTTTCAAGCAGGCCAGAGGCACTAAAGCCTGACTAAATTCTCTGTTTCTGTGGGATCACGGCTCATCCCTCGAGACAACAGCAATCCCTTTTTCAAATAGGGCCGATAGGGAAGAGCATGACGACGTCCAGGGGTCTTTCAAAGCAAGCACACTTTTCAGTTATACTTTGGAAATCGAGAAAAAAAAAAAAACAATTCCCAAGTTGCCCTTCCTATACTGGAAACTCTAAAAGCCTTTAAAACATGTTGTCTTCTAAAGGAAGGCCTTTGCATGTAGGGTAGCCTGCCAACGGGGGGCTGAGAAGAAGCATGGACAAGAGAGTCATACAGGCAGAAGGGGCATGGGTGGGTTGGGATTTACCCCATTGGAGGGAATGTCCACATTGATGAAGGTGCAGGTCAAAGGAACACAAATTTAGAAGTGAAAGGGACTTCAGAGGCCACTCAGGCCAATACCCTTATTTTACAAAGGAAGAAACTCACTTGCCCTGTTACACAGGTACCAAATTGCAGACTTGGGAACTGATCCTGGGCCTGTTGGCTCCAAACCCAGAGCTATTCACACTATTCCACATTGCTCTTATATTTAGCAAGGAATAGGAAAAGTCATCATCCTTATGAGCCCCACCTAAATGACTAAAATAGCAAAAATTAAAACAAAAGCCCAAGATTGCCGTCTTTCCCTCATGGAGAAGAACACAACCCAACCTATCAATAGGACATGCCCTTTTTAAATAAATCAATTTTTATTGCTATTTTTGTTTTTACATCACCTACAACTCCCAGCACATCCGTGCACCATTTCCCCCTTATAGCAAAGAATAAAAAATAGGGTGGAAAAAAAAGCAGTTCGGCCCAACTAGTCAACACATCAAACAAGTCTGAACATTGTATCCAACATTTGACACCCACAGTCCACCACCTCTGGCATTCAACTTGGGAAAGCCTCTAAAGGTCAATGACAATGGTACAAAGAATAGGACATCCCCTTGTAAGCTGTGGGGTTTTTACCCTTCTCCAATAAAAGAGAAGAATTCTTTCATTAGAATCCTCTTCTGATGCCTCCAGCTATCGAGGGTCACCTGCATAAAAGACTTGAAAGTGATTTTGGGTTATCAAGGCCGGTTCAATAGAACCCAAGGTTGGGCATTAGAGCCACCAAGATGAGAGACTCTAAATATGAGCGCCCACTGTTGGAGGACAAGTCTTGCTAAGTTTGGGGAAGCCAAAGGCCAGAGGATTATCTGCAGGATTATTTTTTTTTAATTAAAAATTTTGTTTTCCCCCAATTATAAGTAAAAATAATTTTTAACATTCTTTTCTTAAAACTCTGAGTTCCAAATTCTCTCCCTCCTTCTCTTCTCTCCTCACTAAGAGGGCAAGCAATTTGACACAGGTCTTACACGTAGAGTCAAACAAAACATATTTACAAGATTATTTTTTTTAAATCACCTGAGGAGGTAGAAAGAAAGATGTTGGAATGAAAATCATAACAGCTAACTTTTATATAGTGCTTTAAGGTTTGCAAAGTACCTTCCATATCTTAACTCACTTGATCTACAACACTATGAGGCCGGTACAGCTATTATCCCCATTATACAGATGAGGTAACAGACACTCATCCCTACACCTAACATACTGTCCCTACATTAAACAAAGTATGAGCCGTCACCACTACAGAGGTTAACTGACTTGTCTGGGGTCACCCAGCTAGTAAGTGTCTGAGGCCACCCAGCTAGTAAGTGTCTGAGGCAAGGTTTGAATTCAAGTCTTCCTAACTCCAAGTCCAGGACTCTGTGCGTTTAACACCCAGCTATACAATGCCGGTGTGCTGGATCTGAGAGTCAGGAAGACCTGGATGCCTTAGTAAACCACCTCCTAAGTTGTGGCAGAGATTTTGACTTGCATTGGTAGAAAGTGTGCCCACACAGAGATGAGATCACAGATCCAGGCAAGGCAGACAAAAGGCCTGTGGACAAACATCTTCATGAAAAGTTTCCCGAGTTGCTACATGGCCAAAATAATTCGTGGATCAGAGGTCAACCATTGCTGCCAAATCCCTGTGTACTGAGCTAGGCTGTTCTACAAGGTCACAGCTAGGCCTACAACAGTGTCATGCGATGCGAAATGTAACAGATTTGGAATCAGAGGGCCTGGGGTCACATTCGAGAGCTACATCTTACCACTTATGGGATGCCAGTCAAATCACTTCATCTCTCTGGGACTCAGTTTCCCCAGCTGTGAAATGAGGCATGTAGTTTAGATGACCTCTCTGGTCCCTTTGAGTTCTGGGTCTATGATCCTAAAAAGCTTAAGCTCATTAGTGCTTTATAATTGTTAAAGATAACAGATCGTTAAATCTTGAAGGAAGCACGGAACTTGTCTAGTCAAATCCTTTCCATTTTACAAATGAGGAAACTGAGGCTGATAGGTAAAGTGGACTCCTGGAGGAATAGGGGCTGGTTTCTGATTATTTCTTATTCATCTTTTCATTCCTCATAGCTCCTAGCACTAAGTCTGTGCTCATAAATGCCTCACACATAGTAGGCACTTATAAATATTTGTTGGACCAATGATGTACATGTGTGTGTGCAAAGAGAAAGACACTAAGTGTATAAATATATATACACTTGTATGGCACTGATCTCTCACACACAAACACAAATACACACCTCCCAATATATCTCTATATATGTCGTTTTACCTGGAAATAGTCTGTAATGAAGGATCCAAGTTCACTCTTCAGCAGCCGCCTAGGAGAAAACAAACACTCAGACATTAGTGTGACGCTCAGCAACTTTTAATCAGTTTACACACCCATGCTAGATACCCTGCCTACAGGATGGACAACCTGAGTTGGGAGACAAGCAAGGACATTGCTTGGTCCAGATTAGAGCAGGTAGTAGCCTGGGGTAGGAGAGACAAGCCCTCTCCCTCCTTCTTCTACTAGTGGTGTGACTTTGGGCTGGCCATTTGTTTCTGGGCCTCAGTTTCCTCTCCTGTAAAATGAAGGGGTTAGACTAGAGGACCCCATGGCTCCCCCGCAACCAACTCTAAATCTATAAGCGAAGGACATGGAGGCCCCGATTCCACCACACCAGGTGGCAAAGGGCACCCAAGGAGAGCTGCAGGTTTCCGGAGATGTGGACATATACCATCTCTTCTGAGCTTCACAACAGGCCCAAGAGACAGGCATTGTTAGCCCCCAGCTGGTGGGTGGCTAGGATGGGCCTTAAATCTGGGCTATCTCCTGACTCAAGGCACTTTCCATAAGCCACATTAGTGGCCTTCATAAGAGTGGTAAGGGCAGCAGCGATGGGGACTGAGGTAGCCCGCGATGACACCTGGGTGGGCTTGGCGATACATCTGGATGCTGCAGCATCTTAACGGTTTCAATATCCGCTCCTCAGAAAGGAGACTGACTGTAACAGACTTCCCCTACATCAGATGAAAGGGCCCTAAGGAGGAGAGAAGATAGAAGGGGTTTAAAGTTAGGGAGGAAAATGGCATCCTCACTTTATCATAGGATCAGAGAGCTGGACGGGACCTCAAGGACCCTTGAACTTGCTTCTCCTCCCTCCACCATTTTTTTCCCCATGAGGAAAGTGAGGGCCAAGGAGTGAAGGTCACAAGGATTTCTACTCTGTGTTAATTGATGGTGCCTTCCCCAGGCCCATTTCTCAGCCAATCCTACAAACAAGAGTTACCATCTCCAAGCCTGGGCTTCACACCCCTCTACATTTCAGTTGCCCATCCTATCAGCTCTTTCTCTTGTGGCGCTCAGGTTTCAGCTGTCATCCCATTAACTGCTACAGACATGTTTCCACAGGCCACAGAAGGAGAAGGAACAGGCGACTGCCAGGCATGGCTTACGCGCAGAAGACAGGATGGGAGCTAAGAGTGGGAAGAGGGCAGCTAAAACAAACATAAAATATGAAGCTCCATATATCAGCCTCAGACAGCTGCAGATACACATCAAAAAAGGAGGCAGCAATCCTGCCCCATCTTTCCTCGAAGCAGCGTGAGACACTGGGTTGAAATCCCAACTACCTATGGAACCTCAGGAACACCATCTTCCTGAGCCTCAGTTTCCTTATCTGTAAAATGAGGGAGTTAGCCTCGATGGTATCTGGGTTCTCTCCCAGCTCTGGACCTCTAATTTTGTAATTCTTGGAAGAAATTCTGTCTACTACTGCCAAGTGCTGAAGGTATTTTTCTATCCAAGCTCTAGTCAAAAGATCATGCAAGTCTGTCGGGTGGTGGAGGGGACTGGGCAGGAAGAGAGATCTAAGTTATAGGCTGTGAAAGAGAACTTGGTGAAGAAAGCAGAGCCAGTAACGTGGGCTTGCTCAGTCACCGGCCTCAACACTCATCATTTCCCTCTAGCAAATCAGCCAAGAACTGGAGGTTGGAACTTTGTGGGTGGCCCCGGTCGGGACCAAGAACTGCCAGCCAGGGAAGCTGTGTTGTGCAGTGGAGTCAGAGGACTCTGGAGACCATCTAGGCCAAAGCTTTTATTGGACAGATGAGGAAACGAGGCGCAGGGGATTTTAACTCGTCCCTCTCACACAGGTGGGAGGGGGAGACACAAGCAGGACTTGAATCTGGGCACTGGATAAGGAGGCAGAGGACAGGATTCAACTCTTACTGTCTTTGTAACAGCAAGCAACTCAGCCTCGGTGTCCTCGATTGTCCCGTCAGCCCTTTCAAGCTCTAAGTCTAGGATCTGACAATCCTAATGAGTTTCTACCGGAAAGAACAGAGATGTCAAGCAGACTGGGTGCAGGGAACCCGCCAGTGAAGCCACAGGTTTGCTACAGACCTGAACAATAATAGAAGCAGATCACATTTATACTGCACTTTAAGGTAAACTGAGCACTTCACATAGATTATCTCATTTGCCCCTTAGAACAACCACGAGAGGTGCTATGGGCACCCCCATTTTACAGATGAGTTAAACAAAACTCAGAGAGGTCTTCGACTTTCCAGGATCACACAGCAAGCATGTACCAGAGGCTACATTCCAATCCCAGTCTTTTTATACTTTGTGACTCCAAGTCCGACATTAAAACAATAAAAGCAGCTGGGTGGTGCGGTGGATAGAATGCTAGTCCTGGAGTCAGGAAGACCTTAGCTCAATTCCAGCCACCGATGTTTACCAGTTCAGTGAACTTAGGCAAATCTTTTTCACTTGTGCCTCAGTTTCCTCATCTGTAGTATGGGAATAATAATAATAATAGCACCTATTTCCCAGGATTGTTGTGAGATCGTATATGTAGAATGCTTTGCAAACCTTGCAGCAGTAGGTATCTAAGTGCTAGTGATTATTAATATTATATGAAAATGTTGAGCCTGACAATTAAAGGCAGCCTTCCTGAATAAATGCCTAGTGACTGTGTTCTAGAAAAGCTGACAGATCAGGAAGAAACAGGGCAGGGGCAGATTTCCAGGGGATCAGAGTCATTCAGGAGAGGGCCAAAGGCAGAATTTGTACAGTCAGCACAGGATGGCTCGGGGTGTAGGAGACAATTGTAGGGACCAGACAGAAGGGTGTCTGGCTCACCAAAGAGGCCAGGGCAGGACCCAAGAAGGCCTGAGTGGCTTCAGAACAGAAAGACATCACATGCCAGGGCTCAAGAGGCCTTGTGGGGCTGTGATGGAGGCCACTCCTTGGAGAGAACTACAAAGCAGGCTCTGAAAACGATGGAGATGCCTGCCATTACTGGAAGTGGTACCAACCTAAATCTCTCTTAGGCAAAGAGTCTGAGTGCCCAACCCAGGAAGCGTTGAGCGGAAACAAAAGAATCAACTGGGGAGGAATGCTGAAAGCATTCCTCGATCCTCATAGATAGGGAAGTGACTGTCTCTTGCCTCCTCCATGAACAGATCACATTCAGATCTGTCTGACCATGCCACCCCCTCCTCAAACTGCAATGGCTCCCTATCACTCCAGGAGGAAATAGAAAACTTTTTGGCTTCAAAACCCTTCATAATCTGCCACCCCTTCCCCTGAACACACACACACACACACACACACACACACACACTTCCAGTCTTCTTCTACCTTACATCTTCCATACACTCTGTGATCCAGTGGTACTGGCTTCCTGGTTGTTCCTCCAAAAAGAAGCTCTTTCTCCCAACTCTGGGCATCTTCCCTGGCCGTCCCCCTGCCCGGAATGCTCTCTCCCCTCATCTCTGCCTCCTGGCTTCCTTCAAGTCCCAGCTAGAATCCCACCTTCTTCAAGAAGCCTGTCCTCATCCTCCTTAGCTCTAAGGTCTACCCTCTGCTGATCATCTCCAATTTATTCTGCATTGCTTGTACCTGGTGGTTTACAAGGTGTCTCTCTCACTAGACTGGGAGTTCCTTGAGGGCAGGGACTGTCTTTTGTCTTTCTTCGTATCCCCAATACTTAGCAAAGTGCCTGGCACTGACTGACTGATTGCTTCTCTAGGAAGGATGCTGATAAGCTAGACAATGTCCAGTCAGGTGGGCGCCCAAGATGGTGAAGGGCCTTAAGTTCACGCCACATAAGAAGTAATTAAAGGAACTAATGGGAATGGTTAGCATCCTACTGAAGGTAGGATTAGGTAGCTTCTGCTTGGGCCCAGAAGGCAGGACGAGAATCAGTGGAGAGAAAAAAAAAATAAAGACCAGAGCTGTCCTAGAATTGGGAGGTAGCAAGATGCCCCTTCACTGATGGTGCTCAAACAAGGGCTGGACGTCCTCTTGTCTGGAAGGTCCAGAAGTCAGCCAGAGGCTGGACTAGACGGCCATCAGAGTCCTTTCCGATGAGAAGCTGTACAGACCCAAGGAGGTCTATAAGACAGCTTCAGTGAAGACGAGAAGATTCCATGAACTCTGAAAATTGGTCCACTTTGGTATTTTTAAGATTTATTCTTTTTTCCCAGTAAAAGTTCATTTTGAAAAGTTCCAAACTTGCCTTGGTAGAACTAAGGGGGAAAAGGAATATACTACCAACTTTGGTCAAGAGGGAGAGCCAGTAGAATTTAGAAAACATGACCAATTTGGGAATTAGAAAATTTGAGTTCAATCAAGTCCTGGGCAAGCATCTTTACTTGTGCTTCAATCTATACAATGGAGGAACTGACCCTTCAATTAATTACTTCCCCGAGGTGATTATAAAAGACCCAGAGCTCCTAGTGGCTGAATGCAGAGATGGTAGCAGTCATCTCAGCAGAGAGGTCTTCTAAGGGGAGAAAGAGGGACTGAAAAAACTTGCTGGAACTGGGGCAGAGAATGAAGAGAGAAGCCAGGAAGGAACGTGTCCAGGACAACTTTGGACACTGACCTCCCTCCTGCTTGGCTCACTCTCTCTTCTCCAACGTTGCGGCAATCTGTGTAGAGGAAACGGATAACAATAACCTTGTGTGTGTGTATCCATGTTGCGTCCCCTTAGAATGTAAGCTTCCTGAGGGCAGGGGCCGCCATTTTGCCTTGGTATGCCCGTGGTGCCCAGGCCACAATAGGCACTCGGTAAATGCCTGCTGACCGATTGATAATAGTAACTCACATTCTAAGAGAGCTTCAGAGAGTGTCTGCATCCATCCTCTCCTTGGAGCCTGGGTGTCCTCAGTGGAATATAAACTCCAGGAAGGCTAGGGCCGTTTTGTCTTTGTATCTTGGGTTCTAGCAGAATGCTTTGTGTATACTAGGTACCTAATAAATATGTTTGGTGAATTAAATGGAACCAAAGTCAGGCTAATGGTTGCCAGCCTAAGCTTCCCATAA